ATCCATTCTCCTGTTGAGGGGCATCTAGGTTGTTTCCAAATTCTGGTTATTACAAATAAAGCTGCTATGAACATAGCTGAACAAATGTCCTTGTTGAATAGTGTAGCATCTTTTGGGTAGATGCCCAGGAGTGGCATAGCTGGATCTTGAGGTAGTGCTATTCCCAGTTTTTTGAGAAATTGCCAGATTTATTTCCACAGTGGTTGTACAAGTTTGCATTCCCATCAGCAATGGAGGAGGTTCCCCTTTCTCCACATCCTCTCCAGCATGTGTTGTCACTTGAGTTTTTGATCTTAGCCATCTGAGTTGTTTTGATTTGCATTTCCTTGATGACTGAGGATATTGAATTTTCTTTGCCATTCTATATTCCTCTACAGAGAATTGTCTGCTTAGCTCTATACCCCATTTTTAATTGGATTGTTTGGTTTGTTGGTGTCAAATTTCTTAAATTCTTTGTATATTCTGGATATTAGCTCTCTGTTGTGTTAAACTTAATTCAAGCCTAATTTTTGTTCTTATGTTGATAATGGAAAATTGACAGGGTAAAGAGATGTGTGATATCAGAGACCACACTGAGAGTGAATGTCATCTAGCAAGTACTTCTTTCAATCCCCAGGTAATAGACAAGAAACATGTGTTACTGCTTCAGCAGCCAGGAAAATCACACAATGTTGTATTTTTAGTTAAAATATGACTAGGAGTATTTCAAATGTCATAGTTGTGGGCAACCTAATTAAGCATGGTCTTGTAAGGGGTGATAAAGTTTGTACCATCCAGATGCTAAGGAGAACTGTGTCCAAAGAGCTTGGGACACACCCTAAATGGCCTGTGTTGTTTATAAGGTTATGTAAATAACTGAGCCTTCACATTTACACACTCTGGTTTTTAGCTCTGTTCAGTCTTGCTCCCGGGAAAGTGAGTGTTGTTTCTCTGGAGGTTTCTGGCTTCATGTTTAACCTGATGATGGGTTATAAGTTCTGTCTGCTTGCTCTGGAGCATTGTTTTACATCTGAAACCTTGTGTATTCTATTAGCCTAATTACTAGGGCAACCAATAGATTTATTGGTGACTGTTATAAAGGAAGCCAGGTGACAAGCGGGAAAGTGAACACAAACCCAACAATCATTTTGATTGAAGTTTTTGCCAAATCATAAGTCAACCATAGCAGGGCATTGAATTTACTGTAAGGAGTGGCTAAGAGTATCAAAGACAAAATCAAAGATAAAAACCTTATAAATGTCAGTGTTAAGAGAAAGTAAGTATATGTTAAAATATAGATTCTTAAAACAGCTTAGAGAAAAGAAAATCTGAGAAATAACACAGGGCGTCTAGAGATTTACAGTTACTGGGTCTTATGTATAGCTCTTGTATTGAAGCTGTTTGTAATCATTTTTATTTAAAAGTTTTGAAAGGATTTGTTGTTGTTGTTAGTTTTAATCTGAAGATAATGTTCAGTTGAAGAATTTTGATGGGTGTTTCTGGTTAGAACATGACCCAATGATGATGATATGTGAGTGTTGAAGAGAAGGGTGAATCTAAAAACCCTCAGTACTTTATAGAGGTTTTACTATTATATTAGATAACAGTCTCTGTTATGCCCTTATCAGTAAGTAAATCTACTTGCTGTGAGAAATTTCTACTTGCAGTACATTAAATTCACTGTATTTTTTTATTTTTTTAATATTAGTTACAGTTTGTTAACTTTGTATCCCTACTGTTTCCCACTCCCTCTTTCCCTTCCAATCCCACCCTCCCACCCTCATCTCCTCCCTGCTCCTTTCCAAGTCCACTGATAAGGGAGAACCTTCTTCCCTTCCATCTGATACTGGTTTATCAGGTGTCTTCAGGACTAGATGCAAAGTCCTCCTCTGTGTCCTAGCAAGGATGCTTCTCCCGAGGGTTGGGGGGGGGGTCAAAGAGCCCACCATCGAGTTCATGTCAGAAACAGTCCCTGTTCCCCTTATTAGGGTACCCACTTGGAAACTGAACTACCAAGGGCTACATCTGAGCAGGGGCTCTAGGTTGCTTCCATACATGGTCCTTGTTTGGAGAAACAGTCTCATAAAAGACCCCTATGCCCAGATATATTTGGTCCTTGTGGAACTCCTGTCCTCTCCAGGTCGTATTACCCCCCCCCTTTGGTTCCCTGCATTCTGCCGGAGGTTTGGTTATGAGTCTTAATATCTATTTTGATACACTTCTAGGTAGAGTCTTTCAGAGGCCCTCTGTGGTAGGCTCCTGTCCTGTTACTTGTTTTCTCCTACATCCAATGTCCATCCCATTCTCTTTCTAAGTGAGGATTGATCATCGTACCCTGGGTCCTCTTTCTTGTTTATCTTCTTTAGGTGGATAGATTTCAGTATATATATCCTATCTTATAGGACTATATAAGTGAGTATATACCATGTGTGTCTTGCTGCTTTTGTGATACCTCACTCAGGAAAATTCACAGTATATTTTTCTTAAATCTTTTACTTAACTTTAATGGCTGTGGTGTAGGTAAGATTTATCTATGTTGGTCTGTACTTTGTTGCCGTGGCAGATAACTGGGAGAACATAAAGATGTGACTAATTTTTGTCTCACAGTTTCCAAGATTTCAGTTGTTTTTTTTTTAGCTGACTTCATTCCTTGGATCCTGGGGTGGATATATATAATATAAAAATATATTATATATATATATTTATATATATTATATATAATATATATTTTATATAAAAATATATAAAATATATTATACAATATATTATATATAATATTTGTATATAATATAAATTATATATATAATATAAATATTAACATTTAACATTAAGACTTTTAAGCTTATCCTTTGAATGCACTTAATATGATGAAATGGAGCAACTCACTTCATGGTTGTTGAGAAACAGAGAGGAGAAGGAAGGAAGAAGACAGGAAAAGATATAGATAGAGGGGGGAGAGATAGAAAAAGAGGAGGAAGAATGAGAAGAATGATGACAACAGATAGAATACACACCAAAGAAATTTTCCCTAGTTACCTTCCTTCTGCTAGGTCCTACTGCTTAAATTTCTGAAATAGGACCACAAGCTGGAGACTTCAACATGGGAACCTAGGGAGTACATTTCGAACTCAAATGATAGCAATAACATTTAAATATGTTATGTTTATATATAAGAATACAAGTCTATATAAGAGACCTTTATATCATAGACTTATGTTTTATAGATGTATTTATATATGTATCCATCTAAGCATTAACATTTAACATTAAGACTTTTAAGCTTATCCTTTGAATGCACTTAATTGCCTGTGAACAATAAGAATATGTGTCTTGTTTTGACATTGCTATTTCAATGAACTACAACAATTCCCTTCAAAAAACCAGGCAAATCACACTGACTATTCTGTATCAAATTTCCTGTTTCTCTGTAACTACTTAGTTTAATTATCATCTATCTATAACTATAGGAAGCAGATTTTGTTTTTCTACTGCATAAAATGCTAGAAGATAGTAATTCAAGAATTATCAAGCTTTATTTTCCATAAGTACTTATGTTCCATAATTTTAATATATTTTTGAGATGACAAGGAAAATATAGTATAAAAAGAATTTTATATTCTATTGTGAATATAATATTGTGGAGGCTGGGGGCTCAGAAAGGAAGATTACAAAGTCAAGGCCTGCCTAGACTGCAGTTTAATTTCAGACAAGTTAGTGAGACCTGACCTCACCGTTAAAGAGTGAAAAGAAGGTGTTGCTTATAGCTTGGTGCTAGAGTACTTACCTAGTATTAGACCCTGAATTCAGTACTGTAAGAAAAACAAAAAGAAAGAAGAAACTGAAGAATAAAAATTTGTTATTTTAAGTAATATTTAGTGATTAATATTTCAAGATAGGCCTTTTTTATTTATGGCTTATCTAGGTGCATATCTGAAATTCCAGCACTTGGGGAGGCATAGGCAGGTGGGTGGATCTTTGTGAGTTCAAATGCAGCCTGGTCTACAAAAAGAGTCCAGGATAGCCAAGGCTACACAGAGAAACCCTGTTTCAAAAAACCAAAATCAATCAATCAATAAGTAAATAAATAAGAAGGAATTTCTTAGCCAATATAATTTAAAATTAGCCTCTGCAGCCAGGCACAGTAGTGCATGCCTGTAATCTAGCACTCAGGGAGGCAGAGGCAGGCAGATCACCGTGAGTTTGAAGCCAGTCAGGTCTATAAAGTGAGTCAAGGATAGCCAAGGTACACAGAGAAACTCTGTCTTGAAAAAACAAGCAAGTAAACAAACAAACCAAAAAACAAAAAGCCCCTAAATTAACTTGTTTTATATGTTAGAAAAAAATCTACTAAATTAAGTATATTTATGGCAAGTATTCTGTCTCTAATTTTCTTTTAATCTACAAATAAGCTTATCTCTCTTAATAGGTAAATTTTTTTTCTGACTTACTATCTTGGCACGCAAAAATACATACAACTCTAGAGTGACTTGTTCTTGTTTGGGAAATTTCTGATTGTTTGTTTTGGTTAACTATAACTGAAATGTTTATATCATGACAAAACAATTTTTGGATGAATTTATCTCTAATGTTGCCCAAGAAACAGACAAAAACGAGAGGAAGTGAGAGGCAGCATGTTTCAGACAGATATTAAATTATCACTGCAGATGGCAGACTATCTTGTCCTTTATAATAAGAAGAGAAATAATAAGAGGAGAAAGCTTGGAAAAAGGAAGACCCATGACAACACAGACACATAAACACAAAGGCTAGAAAAGAGACTGAAACTCATTATAGTTTATTTGAAGGTAACTAGGGCTTTTTATGATTCCAACAAGCCTTCTAATTGTACAGTAACCTAAGAATGATTGTGAGAAAGCAAAACTTGCTTGACCAGCCCATCAGTAACTCTATGATTTTTCCATGCCTCTTTCAAAGCATCCTTAGCATTGTCAAGTTTTCCCAAATGGTCCCTGAAGAGTCAGATTATCCTGGGTAAAACTATTTTAAAAAAAGAGATGTTCATGCTCACTTCAGCAGCACATAGACTAAAAATTTGAATGATATAGAGAGGATTAGCATGGCCCCTGCGTAAAGATGACACACAAATTCATGAAGCGTTCCATATTTTTTGCCTGTAACTCATTGGCACAGGTGACAACTTCCTAAACAGAATACCAACAGCACAGGCTCTAAGATTAACAATTAATAAATGGGACCTCATGAAACTGAAAAGCTTCTGTAAAGCAAAGGACACTGTCGTCAGAACAAAACGACTACCTACCTACAGATTGGGAAAGGATCTTCACAAACCCTATATCTGACAGAGGGCTAATATCCACCATATATAAAGAACTAAAGAAATAAAAAAGCAACAAATCAAGTAATCCAATTAAAAAATGGCGAACAGAGCTAAACAGAGAATTTTCAATAGTGGAATATCGAATGGCAGAGAAACACTTAAATAAATGCTCCAGATTGATTTCCAGAGTTGTTGTACAAGTTTACATTCCCACCAGCAATGGAGGAAGATTCCCCTTTCTCCACAACCTCTCCAGCATGTCTGTCATTTGAGGTTTTTATCTTAGCCATTCTCATGGGTGTAAGGTGAAATCTTAGGGTCATCTTGATTTGCATTTCCCTGATGGCTAAGGATGTTCAACATTTCTTTAAGCGTTTTTCAGCCATTCGATATTCCACTATTGAGAATTCTCTGTTTAGCTCTGTACTCCATTTTTTAATTGGATTGCTTGATTTGTTACTGTTTGATCCAGCTATACCACTCCTAGGCATATACCCAGAAGAGGCCCAAGTACACAATAAGGATATTTGCTCAACCATGTTTATAGCAGCTTTATTTGTAATAGCCAGAAGCTGGAAACAGCCCAGATGCCCCTCAATGGAGGAATGGATACATAAATTGTGGTACATCTACACAATGGAATACTACTCAGCAATAAAGAACAAGGAAATCATGAAATTTGCAGGTAAATGGTAGGATCTGGAAAAGATCATCCTGAGTGAGCTATCCCAGAAGCAGAAAGACGCACACGATATATACTCACTCATATAGACCTATAATATAAGATAAACCTACTAAAATCTGTACACTTAAAGAAACTAACCAAGAAGGAGGACTCTTGCTAAAATGCTCAATCCATATCCAGAAAGGAAAGAGGATGAACATCAGAAGAAGGAGAAAACAGGGAATACGTCAGGAGCCTGCCACAGAGGACCTCTGAAAGGCTCTGCCCTGCAGACTATCAAAGCAGATGCTGAGACTTATGGTCAACTTTTGGGCAGAGTGTAGGGAACCTTATGAAAAAAGTGGGAAACAGTAATATCTGGAAAGGACAGGAACTCCACAAGTAGAGTAACAGAACCAAAAAATCTGAGCACAGGGGTCTTTCCTGAGACTGATACTCCAACCAAGGATCATGCATGGAGATAACCTAAGACCCCTACACAGATGTAGCCCATGGCAGTTCAGGGTCCAAGTGGGTTCCATAGTAATAGGAACAGGGACTGTCTCTGACATGAACTGATTGGCCTGCTCTTTAATTACCTCCCCTGTGGGGGTGGGGAAGCAGCCTTACCAGGCCACAGATGAAGACAATGCAGCCACTCCTGATGAGACCTGATAAACTAGGATCAGAAGGAAGGAAAAGAAGACCTCCCCTATCAGTGGACTTGGGGAGGGGCATGCATGGAGAAGGGAGAGGATGGGAGGGATTGGGAGGGGAGGAGGGAGGGAACTACAGGAGGTATACAAAGTGAAAAAAAGTGTAATTATTAAAAATTTAAAAATGGAAAAAATAAAATAGAATAAACAAAACAAAACAATCCCCAAACAAGTAAACAACTCCCCTTCCCTCCCCTCCAAAAAAGAAAGGAATGTTCATGAGTTAACAGAAGATCACATATAAGTGATAACAGTCAGAGGTGGGTTTCTGCTTTTTGCTTCCATAATCTTGTCAAACGTAAGTTATCAACCTTGGGGTCCAAAATAACCAGCTTGCTCAAGTAGATAAAAATAAAGCATGTTTTAAGACTACAAAGACAAGTCTCAGGAAAGCCTTTAAAAGTGGTTTTAAGATTACCTTTATTAAAGTATCATTTATGACCAAACTTTATATTTTCTCAGAGCACAGACATAAGATGTTTTTAACCTAACCCAATAAAAATTGTGTCCAAAGGATGCCAGTCTTACATAATCATTTAAACATATTAGTTCTGGGATTGGACTTATTTAGACTATGTACCTCTACTCCTACAGACTTTTTCTTTCAGTTTCTTCAAGGACAGAAATGATACTGGGAAAAAACAAAACGAAACAACAACAGAAAAAAAACAAAAAACAAAACAAAAACAAAAACCCAAAGCAAAACTAAACAAAAAATCCTAACACCAACAGTGAAAAACTTGAGGGGATCAGTTTAAATTTTTTTTTAATCTTTAATTGATAAAAATGAACTTAACATTTATGACTTATTAGGAAAAAGATGTGCAGAGGTCCAATTTTGTTGGGACTTTAATGTGAGAAACCACCTCCCCAACCCCAGCTTAAGGTCAAGGAACCACAGGGGATAGACATCTCCAGTCCACTTACTGGTGAATGCAGAGGCTCAGTGGGACTTTTAGAATGTGAGTTCTTGATTACTTCGATATCCACCAAAAATAATCATTGAGCAAGAACAAAGTTTATTAGCTGAGAGAGAGAGTGTTATCCTCAGAAATTTTCACCCTGCTTTCAACGGCAAGACAAAATAAAACAACATGTAACCTTTTCCAGTTTCAAGGTGTAGACTAAGAAAGTCCAAAGTCAAATCCTACAAGGCAGGAGGTTGGACAACATTTATTTCACCATAGCTATGGATTCATGGACTCAAAGATACCGAAGTCCTTATACTACTCTCTCTAAACAAACCATTATTCATGGTAAGTAAGGTTTTTAGTTGGCTTTCAGTCTCAGTCCCTAGGAATAAGTACTTTCTGGAACAAGCAATTATATTTTCTTTGCTCTCAGTGTTATTTCACACAGAGACAAAAAGTTATGCAGGTTTCAGTTTTCATTCTCCTTTCCTGCCCATCCTCCCTACAAACTAGTTTCAGGTTTCCCAGCTCAGGACCGCTAGATTAATCTAATAAAAATGTTGTGAAACTGGGACTGATGTGAAGACTTAGACCTAAAAATTCTTCTATTTGTGAAGGTGATAATAGGACTGATAATAGTGATTTCTAATTACATTAGCATTTTTTAGTGTTTATTGTTAGTGTTTATTGGGTAATATGCATATAAAATTAAGACAAGATTTTCGTTTAGTAATTATATATGTATTTGTCTTTTATTAATATTATTTATATGACTAAATAGTAAGTCACCTCAAATTAACTCTAAATTTATCCCTCTTCTCAAGTGTTCTGACTGGGATCATTAGCATAGGCTAAGACCAGGGGAAGGCCCTGAACTGAGATGATAATTATGCCAATGAGCATAGCTTCAAAGACAAAGTGGGGAACCTCAAAGTCAGACCCTGAATCTTAAACCCATAATATCACAAGCAGTAGTAAGACAGTAAGTACATCAAGAAAGGTCACAAACATGTTAGCAGATACAAGAATATCTGGAAAGTCCTGCTACAGTCTGCATCGTTAGCATAGTTGAGACCCTAATGGCAGCTGCTACAACAGTTAAGTTCTAAGAAGCAAAAATTAAGGACTTTCAAGATTTTAGCCTCAATGACATTGTACTAAGAGAAGTAAAAAACACAGAACATCAAAATAAACCAGAAGACCAGGAATCATATACCTTTACTCTGTCAGAGCACAGCAACTATACCCGTACTTCTTTGACTGCAAGTTTACCCCTAGTTCTCTACTTAAAGGTTAATGTAAGCCAGAGAGACAAGGGTTATATTTACAGAGGAATAATAAAGAATTTCGTTGGTATAATACCAAGGCGCAGTTGGATGGGCTATAATCACAATACATTACAAATAGACTTACGTGATCCATGAAACAAGTCAAATGACAACAGCTGAAGGTTATTTTTAAGCAGTGCTTGAACTCTAGAAGTAAGCCAAGTCTTAGAAAGAAAATAGCATTTCTGTAGACTCATTTAAAAATTGACTTATCTAATTCTTATCTGGACATGTTAACAACAATAAAAAAAATCTGTCCTACAAAATCAAAAAGGTGATCCCTACTAAAATTCATATGTTTCTGTGTTTCCTACGAAATGTCAACAACCCTGGAAACTTCAGGAATCGAGGCGTGCTGGAAAGGGCTAGGGTAGATGGCAGGTAGCTTTATGGTTTTAGCAGAGCTACACCTATGCAAATACAAATAGCACCTCAGCATGGGTGAAGCAACCTTGTGTCCCCACCCCTAGCACAAGTCTTGGTGCTTGTCTCATCTCCTAAGGCATGGAATCTTTAGGGGTCCTCTCTTGTAAATTTTTTGGACTGTGTTTTTATGAGGAACTTTGTGGCATTCCTTGCAGATTTCTTGGGCAAAGGGGGTTGGGGATAGCCTTTGAGTATCATTCTTGAATCTGTTAGTTTATTCCCTGGAGCTTTAGTGGAGTCTAGAAAAAACATGAGCCTGTAGACATTCAGCCCGGGGCTGTAAAGTTGTCAGATCTCATAAGCTTGGCAACATGTTTGGATCTGGACAGGACTTGGATAGGAGAACGCAAAAGAAAAAAAAAAAAAAAAAAAAAAAAAAGAAAGAAAGAAAGGGGAAAAAAGAGTTTGTGGAACACACATCTGCTGTGCGCCAGATGGCCGTTGTTATTTTGTCGTCAGCGGAGCTTTCCCTGTAATTCTTGTTACATTTCCTCTACTGTAGTATTTAGGGGTTTTAAGTGGGGGGAGGGAAGCAAAATAGTTTTGGGAAAAAGGAGGTGAATGTAACATTAAAAGGCAGGCTTTAATTGTTCCACAACTCAGGATTTACAGAGTTAAGTTTCCCACAGCCATCCTCCAACTCTGCAGGGTGTGTTACAATAGGAGCCCTCATTACATAATCACCAAAGCCCGGGTAATGTTACACAGCGTTCAGCAGATAAAGGGCACACAATAATGGAAAGGAACTGCACTTTTTCTCTAATCTTAGGTGGACGGAGCATATT